TTAAATTGGTTAAACCCTCCTGTGGGCTTGGATTTCAAATAGTATTGCTTTACTATCAGGTACTTCAGATTAATTATATCTGAGAGTAGAGTAAGGACCACTGACTCAGAATCAAAGGCACCTTAATGCAGATCAACCAATGAACTCTAAATCCACACCCCTAAGTGAACTCCAGCTGATTTCCTGTGTCCCTGTGCAGGCAGGCAGGTCCAGGGCCCCAGTGCTCTCCAGAGTGGTTCTTCTCTCCCAAGCAGAAGCAGCTTTTAAGTAAAGGAATTTGATGGCCTAAAATTGCCTCACCCTTCCTTTTTCCCTCCTTGGAAACAGCCTCTCTGTCTGCTGAGGAGCAAACACTGTACCATTACAATTAATGCCACCTTTGTAATGGAGACCTGCCAGGAAGACACTCTCTGCTCACTTCTGACTGGAACATCTCGTGGAAGGACCTGGAAAAGCTCTCAGTCTCTGTTACTCACTGACAGATTTCCCTGTCAGGCCCCTCACTGCTGCTAAAACAGTGTTTTTATCTTTAAATCACAACTGATAACTTACACTTCTTGCAAGAGAAGGAGTTCCCACTCAGCTGAGTGTTCCCTTCCAGCCTTCTGGCAAAGTCAAACCAGGAACACATCCAAAAGTGAAACTACATGCCAGCACATGTATGATGATCTAGAGCTGGAGAATTGGATGCTGCCTCCTCTCTCCTGCTCAGCAAAGGTGCTCAAAGGCCTTCAAAGGCAAGAAAGCCTGTGGGGGAAACGAAAGGTGCTCTGCAAAAGTTGTTCACAGACTGGAAGTTCAACTGGCCCTACCAGCAGGACTTGCTGGTGCTCAGTGAAAACAAGAAAACCAAGGAATCAGGAAAAGGAGAGGGGCTGCCTGGTGTTCATCTCTCTACCTGGGTTGCTAAAGCATCATGGAAGTGTTGCACAATCCTTTGTTATGGGCTGCTGAAAGCACTGGTGTCATTCTGGTGTAATTGGTTCATCTGTTACTGACTTGCTCAGCGTTTGATGGGAAACCCAATAAACATAAAAGCACTTTCTGGAGGCTGGATGTTACTTCAATTGTCAGCAGTGGGACTGGTATTGCTCACTTTTTTGGGCAATATTCTCTAGGGCTTAGGGGAGAAAAAAGCCATCTAGCCCATGTGGAAGGCAAATAAAATCAGTCACTATAGCAACTGCAGTCAGTGTTCATCACAATAAGTTTAGTTCTCCTGTGCTCTGTAAAAATAACGTGTGTCAGCTTCCTACCTGGCTGGGGGCTGTCCTGGCCACAGAGCTGACAGAAACTCTGCAGGGTAACTCCAGAATGAGTGCTGGCTGTCCCCACATGGCAGGAACCCCAAATTCCCTGGGATTTAGCTCCCTGCAGCTCCAGAGGGTGCTCCTCCTTCTCCTGCAGGACTTGGGCTTGTTCTGTTCTAATCTGGGGCCTTGGCCTTTTACAGCTGAGCTGGTGCTCCTGTTCAGTTCAAGGTGAGGCACAGGGGCACTGAGAAATGATTTCCTTTAAATGAAGTTTCAGACTGTGGGCCTGAAGCTCTCTTACAGGGGTGAGAAAACTCCCATTGCCTGAAGGGACTTTTCCTCATTCCTACTGGAACGGGGCCACCACAACCCAGACAGAAAAGGAAAGAGTGAAAGAGTCCTTGGAAGCTTTTCCTGTGATGGGTACAAGAGGGTCTGTGCCTCTGAGAGGTGACACCTGGTGCCATCTCACATCTGCTGAGTCCCAAGGGATGTGCAAGGCTCCCTCCTCCCTGTGAGCGTGGTGCCTGTGCCCTCATCACCCTTTGTTCCTTTTGTGATGCTGAGGAGGGAGGGCTCTGAAGGACATGGGGCTGTTTGAACTGTTTAATGCTCATTTCCTTGTTGCTATCAGTTCTGCTTGACTCTAAACCCTCTAAACCTTGTGTTTGTATCTGAAAACTCAGCAATGTCTCTCTTGGGGTGTCCTCTGGGGATTTGGTCTGCGTGCAGTGAGATGATTCATGCAAAGCCAAATAGCTTTTCCTTATCACAAAAAAAAAGGATGCAAAGTAGTGCAAAGGGTGAATTTCAGTCATTTAGCTCATTTTTCATATATTGAAGGTGCTGAAAAACAGGTAAGGGAAGGTTTGACTGATTGCTGAACACCCTGTGATACTGCTGGTTACACACCACAGTGCTTTGTTTGAAAAAATCCAGATAAATGCTTATGAAATGATCATCTCTTTTAATGGCAGCAAACCTGTCTGCTGAAGTGAAATTACAGGCTGCTCATAAACCTCAGAAATTAGAGAGCTGAACACTCATTGAAAAAATGGGAGCTGTGCTTCCTTCTCAAGTAAAAGTGTAAATTGAAATCTGAGGATTTTGGTGTTGTTCTGCTTGTGCTGGTGTGTGTGTATGTCCTTTTCTGTGTGTTTTTCATAAAATTGGTGTCCCCTAGAGGGTATTATCCAGCAATTTGGCCAGAGGAGCTGCTGTGCCTGGTGCCAAATGTGGGAATGGTGTGAGGGCTTGGGTGGTGAGCTGATCAGGACAGGAGGCTGGGGAGCTACCACAGGAGAATATTTTTATTTACAGCTACAACATCCTGCAGGTTTCCAAGTTACACCTGCTCTCAGGTGGGGTTTGCAGCAGGTTACAGGGAATGGAACAGAAACCAACCATTTGTGTGGAAAACACACATTTTTATCACAAACCATGAATTATTTAAAGTGTCCAAAACACCTACCAACACCAGATTTGTATGCTCTAAGAACAAATCCTTACGTGTACAAAACCCACCAGTCACAGAGCTGCAATACTGTTGTTAATGTAGAACTTCATACTGGAATTTAACAATCCACCTAGAGACAGTATCAAGGGAAAAGATGAACTGAAAAATTCCTGGCATGCTTTCTAATCTGAAAATAACAAACTACTCTTTAAAAATATGTGCTTGGGAATAAATAATTGATTAGTATTGCTTAGCAGTAAGTGCATGTATTGCTTAGATTTCATCCACTAATATCACCTCAGTAAAAACCTCAATTCATGGCTTCTGCTTCTGTATTTTAAAACATTTGGTGTTATTTAGGTTATTAGAACAGTTGTGGTTTAGGGATAAAAAAAGAAATAGGTTGTGAAATAATGTTGTGACTACAAGGAAGCTTTTGTTAATATTGCAAAGAAAAAAACAAACCCACATCCCTGGAAGAAAAGGACAGCTTTGATCATCTGAAAAATCAAAAATATCCTTTTGGAACAGGTACCCTGGTAATGATATGCACAGTGTTCACTCCCCCAGACCCCTGTGCTGGCTAATTATGGTAATTACAGCACCGTGGTACAAGTTTTTGACAGCTGTGTTGGCAGGGCTGTGGATTTGCTTCTGTGTGAAGCTCCTCTGAAAGAAGGCATTCCCATGTAGTTTGGGATTTGAAAAGTAATTTTCCACAGAATGGTGCCATTTCATGTTTTCCTTCCAATCTGGGATGAAAATATTGTCAAATATTTTCAAATATGTCAAAATATTGAGATTGTGCTCAGAGTTGATGAGGGAGAAGGTTGTTCCCCCTTTGTTTGTTTATAATTTTTCCTCCAGCTGCCCTTCTGGGGCTTCCCAATGCTTTTCTGTTTGTAGGGGGCACCACTGTTCCTCCCTCCCCAGAGATGCCCAGCAGGAGGATCCTGCAGAAGCTCCTCTGGGGGATCACAGGGACAGTTCTGGGTGGAAGCAGAATTGTTTCAGCAGAATTGTTTCAGCAGAATTGTTTTGTTGGGATCCTTAGCTGCTCAGAGTGACCCCAAGAAGAGTTCCAAAGTCTCTTTTCCCAGCCCAGTGCTTGAAGAAGGAGTCAGGGCTCTTCATTTCTTGGTCTCAAGGTTGTTTATTGTTTCTTATCTATAAAATCCTTTCTCCTGCCCTGCCGAGGTCCATCCAGCAGGACAGTTCCAGGCACTCTGCCTGCCCCTGGGGTGGGGTTATGTCTTTATACTAAAAACTACAATGTGTACAGTGTTTACAATTACTTCCCAATACCCATCACCTATGTTAGACAGTGAGCTTCTACTCTAAACCAGTCCCAAAGTGCCAACATCACAGCAGAAGATGGAGGTAGAGAAGAAGGAGAAAGGCTGGACACGCCCAATTCTCTCCATCTTGCCCTCCTGAACCCCCATACCAGAAACCCCAAAATCTACTTTTCCACCTTGTGATAAATTCACTATTATTCTACTTAATTTGTCATGGCTTGCAGATCTTTATCTAAGGCTGGTAATTTGCTCCATGGGTCATAATCAAAGCCACAGGGGCATCTTGGGCTCTGTGCCAGCGTCACTGAGACCCCTGGCAGGGGTCTGGGCTGCTCAGGACAGCCAGAGGGATGCCCTGGGTCCTGACATTGTTTCAGCAGAATTGTTTCAGGAGAATTGTTTCAGGAGAATTGTTTCAGCAGAATTGTTTCAGGAGAATTGTTTCAGCAGAATTGTTTCAGCAGAATTGTTTCAGCAGAATTGTTTCCCAGCTCTGCTCCCACTGCTGCCCTGCACTCTCAGCCTCCCTGGCTGCCCTGGCCCTTGGCCCCACAGGTGTCCCCAGAGCCCCCCTGCCCAAAGGGCTGGGGTCACTCTGCTTTGCTCCTAAGGCTCACCAAGAGGCATTTCCAGAGATTCCCAGAGACAGGGGCTTTGCCCAGCTGGGTGCTGTGCATTCAGAGCTGCTCCTTCACTGAGTCCTGGGGCAAGTTATCTTTTGCTGCACTAACTTTGTAAGCTGACAATTAAAAAGTCCCTAAAATACATATTTTCCTAAGCTTCAGCTGCAATTTCTAAAGTTTGAAACATAACCAATACATGTACTTTAAATTTTAGTAGAGCTTTACCCTGTAACTGCGTCGCTCATCGTGATCTGTTCTGTTTGTACTGCAAAGCAATGTAGACTTTTTGGAGGAGATAATCCAAGCCAGGGAGAGAGGGACCATCTGCAGGCTGGCCATTCCCTCCTGGAGAGCCTTGTGCCCCCTCTCCTCACATGCAGCTTGTTTCTTGGAGCCCCCCTACAGCACCCAGCTCTGGATCTCTCTTTTGGGCTTGGCTGGGCTTTGGCAGAAGCTCTTCAGAACCTGGGGTTTGTTGCTGCTTTTTCAGCCTGGGCAAGGAGCTCTGGGGGGATTTGTTGCACCTCAGGAGCTCCACAAAGCACCTGTAAAACTGACACACAAAGAGAACAGCAAGTCAGCAGGAGTTTCATTCAGCTCAGGTTTTATAAGCCAGGCTTTATCTCATGATTTGGTATTAATAAAGTTCCTGGGATAGCTCTGGGTGGACAGCATGGGTGTGACAATATTTTGTATTGGAGGCTGAAATGTTTTGTCAAATTAAACATATTTACTGAATGATTGGCATCTGACTCCATGATTCAGAATGCTGAACAATTGCTTTATTAAGCTATACTACATTACATTAATGCTATGTTGTAACTATACTAAAGTGATGCTACACTATACAAAAGAGACTAAAGAAAAAACTCTGACTGAGACATCAGGACACAACTTTGAGCCAACTGGCCAAGGAAACAAAACCATCCTCAGCAGAATCGAATTGACAAATCCCTTCAGGTAAACAATCTCCACAACACACTCCACATGTGCAAAAACAAAAGGAGCAGAGAATAGAGATAAGAATTGTTTTCTCTTCTTCTCTCTGTGCTTCTCCAGAAAAATCCTGGGAGAGAGAATTGTGTGTCTCTCTGTCCAGAGAATGGGAATGCCACACATGTCCTTGTGCCAAGAGCCCTTGAGCTCAGCAGAGCAGCACAGAGGGGAGAGAGCCTTGAACAAAATTCTGGCACAGGTCCCAGGCCTCCAGCAGTGTCCTGTGTTTTATTGGTCACAGATATCACTGACTTGGTGGCAATGCAGAAGGGACTAAAGCTTCCCCAGCCTGTGGGATCTGTCACCTGCTGCAAACCCTGCTGTGGCACAGGGATTTTGGGGAGCTGAGAGTGGCTCCTGCTGCCTGCATCAGGGTGTGCATACATCCCCTTGCTCAGAGTGGGGAATGGATTGAATTAATTGAGTTACAATGGAACTGATGCTGGCTGCTTTGATTTGGGGCTGAGCAGGGAAAAGATGAGATGTTTAAGCTCTCAGGAGGGGTTGGTTCAATATCCATAACTAGAGGGATTTTTTCAGTTGCATGGCAGAACATTTTGTGGATCTGAGAGCAGAGGGAATGTGCAAAGCATGAGGACAAGGAAACTGCCTGTAGCTGAAAAAACAGAAATTTCAGGTGGTGTGGATTGTGTGCATGGCCTCCCTAAGGCTGCAGGGTCAAAGGCTGGTAACTGATCTCTACACTCCAGAGTCCAAAACAACATCACTGGTAATTCTTTGTACAACACAGCTGCTAGCAAGGAGCTCTGACAACTCTTGTTATCAACAGCCAAGAGAAAAATCATGCTGGTTTTTCATTAGCAGCCTTGCTTGCTGGGGAAAGTGGCTTTTTGAAAGTTTTACACAATTTTTGTATCAGCTGAGGTTTCTTTTTTTTCAATGAGAAACTGCATTTTCTCAGGATTAAAAACTTACTTTGTAATAATCAGAATTTTTTCATTGGCCTCTTACCACAGCATTGAAATATTAAGCAGCTTCAAAACTCATGGGCAGTGCTGTCTATTTTCTAGTTTTTTCTTTGCCCCTTCCCCTCCTGGTCAAGCTCACATGGCTATTCCCAGGTACCTTTCTGCAGCCTTTCAGTCCCCAGTGAATTCCTGTTACACTGGAGAGTCTCCTCAATCTGCTTCACCTGGTCCTGGATGCATTTCCTGTGTGAATGTTATTTTAGCTGGCCTGTTCTCAGATTTTATCCAGCCTCTTTAGAGATTTCTGGGCACTGACCAGAGCAGGGGGGAGCCTGGACACAGAATTGGTTTAGGAATAGCCCAGAATTAGAGGGCAGTGTCAGCTGTGTGAGCTCTCAAGGCATCTCCTCCAGATTCCCACAGCCTCAGGAATGCTGTTGGTGTTGAATGTGGTTTTCTGGGTGGCCAACACCTCCTGCTTTCCCATGCCTGGCACTCCTGGGTGGCTGCAGCATCTCCTGCCTTGAGGTTCTCTCCTGAGTGCAGGGAAACCCAAACTATTGACTTCTCATTCTGCACTGAGTGGAACCCTGAGCACTGATTGCTGCTAAAATACCAACTGAGCAATGGAAACCAAGTGGAATTTAAAAAAAAATTTAAAATCCACCACAAACCCCCCTCCACAAACAAAATGAAGCATGTGTGGAGCACCTGGAGTAAAAGTTTATGGTGAACTTCAGGAGTCTGACATGGACAAACCCAGTTTAATTTGTGTCTAGCTGCTGTTTGTGTCAGCAAGCTATTTAGTACAAAGATTAATTTAGAATTGTCTGTAGAAAGCTCCTGAGCACAGTCTGTGTTGTTTTGGAGGGCTCTTTGCAGCCATGCACAGGTTCAGATCAGCCTGAGCTGCCTCTCTGGCTGTGACAGGGCTGGGTGTGTTGGCAGTGAGGCAGAGTTTCCCTTTGTGTGCTGGGCTTCCCTGGCAGGGGATGGCAACAGCTCCCAGCACTGCAGGGGTTTCATCAGAGAGTTTATTCAAAAGCTGAAGAGAGAGAAGAAGGGAAAGAAGGGTCTGCACTCCCTGGGCTGTTTGTTTGTGGCACTGAGTGGAGCTGGTGGATGCTGAGGAGATGATGGATGCTGAGGAGATGATGGATGGTGTCATGGAAACTTTCACTCCCTGGCAATTTCTCATGTCCCAGGAAAAACACCCACAGCTAATTCAAGCCAGACTTATATCAATCTTTTACCATCATTATTTGTTTCCAAGAGAGAGGGAGCAATTTACTATCTGTGCTTCCTAACAGCTTCCAAAAACCACTCCAAGTGGACACTTTGCTGGACCCAGAGAAACAAATGCTCCACCTGCTGTAATCCCAGCAATGCAAAGATCAGTGCAATGGGCTGGTGGAGCTGGCTGAGGGATTGGAGGAGCTCTGATGCTCTCTGGTTTTCTCTGCAGATCTCTGCTCATCCTCACTTTTATTGTCAGTCTCTGTGCTGCTGCCTGCTGTGCCCTGCTGCAGCTCCTCTGGCTCTGCCTTCTGGATCCTCACCAGCTCCTCAGAGGGGACAGCAGGACAAGGAGTGGCTGAAGGATTTCGGGGGGTTAAAAGAGTAAATTAGGGAGTAAATCAGAGAGCTGCTGTTGTGAGGAGGAGGAGTTGCTGTGGGCAGTGTGCTGGGCTGGGCTGGGTGTGGGGCAGCAAGGGCTCACATCCTCACAACACTTCAGTATCTGAGATACCTCAGACGATTTCTGGTGCTTCCACTCTTGCCAAAACATGGATTTCTTCTCTTTTCGCTGAATTGGACAATTGAAAGGAAGGACCAAAAAATCCTTTGCTATTTGCACATGTGGGGAGCTGCTTGTCCAACTGCCAAAAATGCAGATTTGTTGAATAGATTTGCTCCTTGGAGCCCTTTTTCAGAGCTTCCCTCTCATGGGTCTGGGTGATGTCACTGATGCTCTCTTTATCTCCTGTGGTTATTAATTGTTGTGGTGTTATGGGTCCCAGGACGAGGTGAGAGAGATGAGAATTGACTCCAAGTTCTCAGAAGGCTGATGTTATGTTTTATGTTATGTTATGCATTATATTATGTTATGTTATACATTATATTATATTATATTATATATTATGTTATATATTATGTTATATATTATGTTATATATTATGTTATATATTATGTTATAATATTGATATACTAAAACTATACTAAACAAAGAGAAAGGATACATCAGAATGCCAGACAAGAATGAATAATAAAACCCCTGACTGACCAGAGTCCTGACACAGCTGGACTGGGATTGGCCATAAATTAAAAACAATTCACATGGAACCAATCAAAGATGCACCTGTTGGTGAGCAACCTCCAGACCACATCCCAAGCAATCAGATAATTATTGTTTACATTTCTTTTCTGAGGCTTCTCAGGAGAAAAATCCTGGTGAAGGGATTTTTCTGGAGAAAATATGGCAGTGCCAATCTCCCCTCGCTATTTTGTTCCTCCTTGCACAGATGGAATCGGGAGGGAGGGAGGGAGGAAGGAAGGAAGGAAGTGGCGGAAGGAAGGAAGTGGCGGAAGGGAGGGAGGGAGGAAGGAAGGAAGTTGAGGGAGGGAGGGAGGGAGGAAGGAAGGAAGTGGCGGAAGGAAGTGGCGGAAGGAAGGAAGGAAGGAAGGAAGGAAGGAAGGAAGGAAGGAAGGAAGGAAGTGGCGGAAGGAAGGAAGTGGCGGAAGGAAGGAAGTGGCGGAAGGAAGGAAGTGGTGGAAGGAAGTGGCGGAAGGAAGGAAGTGGCAGAAGGAAGGAAGGAAGTGGCGGAAGGAAGGAAGTGGCGGAAGGAAGTGGCGGAAGGAAGGAAGTGGCGGAAGGAAGTGGCGGAAGGAAGGAAGGAAGGAAGGAAGGAAGGAAGTGGCGGAAGGAAGGAAGTGGCGGAAGGAAGTGGCGGAAGGAAGGAAGTGGCGGAAGGAAGGAAGTGGCGGAAGGAAGTGGCGGAAGGAAGTGGCGGAAGGAAGGAAGTGGCGGAAGGAAGGAAGTGGCGGAAGTGGCGGAAGGAAGGAAGGAAGGAAGGAAGGAATTCACTGACCTGTTTGTTCAGAAACACGTAGATGCTGGGGTTGTAGACAGTGCTGCTCTTGGCAAGGATGGCTGGGATGATGCTGGCTGCAGGGCTGATGAGGCCAGGCTGCCCAAAGGTGGCCAGCAGTGCCCCAGCTGCATAGGGCAGCCAGCAGAGGAGGAAGCACAGCACCATCACCATCACCATCACCATCACCATCACCATGAGCAGGAGGCGCTGCTCCCGGCCCGGCCCGGCCCCCGGGGCGAGCTGCTCGCCTGGGGACAGAGCACAGGGAGGGTCCCTGCTGTGTTCAGGTTATTCCACAAACAGGGCAGCACTGCTGGGGTACCTTCCTCGAGCTTTACTGCAGCATCAGCCTCGGGACATGGCTGAGACAGTGGCAGGATGGCAAAGGTCAGGTACAGCCAGCAGCAGCCAAAGGTGGCTTTGATACAGAGCAGCTGAAAAGCTTTTTAGCCAATAGCACATTGCCAAAGCTTACAGACAGTGTTCTAGCTCATTACTAAAAGCACCCACATACCTGCTTCACACAATGTTTGCTTGTCTGCTTTCTATTAACAATATACAATACAACATTATTAACTTTAAACCTTCTACCATCTTGCTAAGCACATTTTCCTGCAGTCTTAAGGTCCATCTTAGCAAAGCTGAAGACTCAATCTATTGTTTCATTCCTTGCTTGCTGTACCATTGTAACTTTTTCTACCTCCAGACTTTGCAGCTGATTCTAAGTTTCTCTGCTCTTTCTCTTTCCAAGGTCTGCTTTCCCAGCTTTCTGATAATCTTCTTACTTTTACTATTTCCCACACCTGGGAGCTCCTGGGGTGGCTGCACTAAGGGCAGGGCTGGGGTGGTGAGTGCTGAGTGTGTCCCTGACAGCTCCTGCAGTGGTGCCTTTCTGGGCTACCTGAAAACAGAGGCCAGACAGAATTAAGGGAATAAAAGCAGTTCTATTTATTGAAGGGCCTTCAGGGCAGGTGAAGCCCCCCAGGGCTACACCCAAAATGGACCATGGCTCACAGGTTTGCACACTTTTTAAAGTTTGGTCCATTTGCATATTGGGGGTTCATCTTCCAATTCCAGCTCCAGGTAATGAAGCCATGTACCCCAAGTTTGCTCCCCCCAACTCATTTTTGTTTCCATCTCTGGGGGCCTGAGGCAGTGAGGTGTCCTTGATTGCCAGGCCTGGAGAGGAATTGTTGTGTCTGCCCAAAATGGGAGAGCAGCAGCTCCCACTGTGTGTGGAGTTTAGAATCACAGAATCACAGAATAATGAGGTTGGAAGAGACCTCTAAGATCACTGAGTCCAACCTGTGCCCTAACACCTCAACCAGACTGCAGCACCCAGTGCCATGTCCAGCCTTTTTGTAAACACACCCAGAGATGGTGATTCTGCCACCTCCCTGGGAAGAGCATAAAGAGTTATACACTAAAGAGCTGCAGGATTACAAATACATGAAAAATACACAAGCTGAAAGCCCAAGGCATCAGCAGGACCAGCAAAAGTGCTCAGCACCTACAACAGCCTCCTCCAGCTCACTGCCAACCCCAGCTTTTAACAGGAGTGCCCTGGGCAGGAGGCAAGGAGGGGAATGAGCCCTGGTGTGAGCAGCTCCCAGAGCCTCTGCCCAGTCCTGCAGGAGATCCCCAGGCAGGCTGGGAGGTGCCTGTACCCACAGCACTGGGGCTGGGGGAGCTCCCTTCCCTGGCCCCATGGCCAAAGGCAGCACTTGAATTCAAGTCATTTACAGCAGGCTCCTCCTCTGGGGCTCACACACAGCTGAGAGTAAATCCCACTGCTGGGCTGGGCCTCATCTGCTTTGCTGTTGTCAGTGTGGATTGAAAACCAGACCTTTCAGTGGCTGCTGTGTCATGCCTGCACTCAGAAGTGCTGCAGTAAGCACAAGGAACTCATTACTACAAGCAGTTTTATGGGGAATCCCTCAGGATGTATTTGAGTGTTGGAAGTCACCTTGAGACTAATTAAAAAACCTAACCAAAACTGTTAAAAAAATAGAACATATCTGTAATTGCCTGCTGAGGGAACTCAAATATCAAGTACTTTATAAATATCTTGTTAATGTGCAAATGAAATCTTTTATGACACTTGTCTGTGATTTAAAAGGAAAAAAAAGTGGCATTTGCTGCTAGGCAAAGAAAAAGTTGTTAATCAAAATATTTCCATTAGCAAGAAGTGAATATTTCACTCAGAGCCACCCACAGGCATCAGTAGCTCAGATTTATTCACAGCCATCTCAGACAAAGCTCACATTTATCTTCTTCCATTGTATCTCATGGAGCTGATAAGAATTTTGTACTCCACATTCCCTGGGTGTGGATTTCTGGAGAGTCTGCCAGACCTTGGTATCAAACTTCACCCAGGCTGTGTGATGAAGTCCAGACAGCTGGACTGGGGTGGAAACAAGGCTGGAGACCAGAGAGGGGCTGAATTTGCATCATGTGTGCTTGGTTTGGTTTGGGAGGCTCCTGAGGAGGGGCACTGCAAGGCATCAGCACCAGCTGCCAGGGCTCAGCATCCCCACACCAATCCCAGCTTTTCATCCCCACACCAATCCCAGCCCTGCATCCCCACACCAACCCCAGCTCTCCATCCCCACACCAATCCCAGCTCTGCATCCCCACACCAATCCCAGCCCTGCATCCCCACACCAACCCCAGCCCTACATCCCCTCACAAACCCCAGCTCTGCATCCCCACACCAATCCCAGCTCTCCATCCCCACAGAAACCCCAGCCCTGCATCCCCACACCAACCCAGCCCTGCATCCCCACACCAAACCCAGCCCTGCATCCCCACAGAAACCCAGCCCTGCATCCCCACAGAAACCCCAGCCCTGCATCCCCAAACCAATCCCAGCTCTGCATCCCCACACAAACCCCAGCTCTCCATCCCCACACCAATCCCAGCCCTGCATCCCCACACCAACCCCAGCTCTCCATCCCCACACCAACCCCAGCTCTCCATCCCCACACCAACCCCAGCCCTGCATCCCCACACCAATCCCAGCCCTGCATCCCCACACCAATCCCAGCTCCTCTGTGCCTTCCTGAGGCTCTCCTGTCCCCCCATGCCAGGAGGCTCCTGGGGAGTGGTGGGTGAAGGCTTGCCTGTGGAGCACCTCAAGGAAAACCAAAATTCCCTTTGGTTCTATTGATTTCCATCAATTCCAGAAAAGGAAACCCAACCACCTCTCCCTTCAGCTAAGGCCAGAGAGGACAATGTTTCACTGGTGTGTTCCTGCTGGAAGTCAGGCTGCTGTGAGCTGGCATGGCAGGAGGGCTCTGCAGGGAATTCCTTCATTATTCCTTTAATAACCCTGAGCAGGGCTGGGGTCCCAGGGGGCTGAGCAGTGCTCTGCACATCTGCAAACCCTGCTGCAGGAGAGGAACAGCTGCTTTGGGGCACTGCTCCAGCTCAGAGCCCATGGGGGACCTCTGCTGCTGCTGCTGCTGCTGCTGCCCAGCTGGGCAGTGCTCCCTGCTCTGCTCACTCACCAGCTGTCACCCTCTTGGCTTTTGAAGTGTTTTATCCTTTCCTAAATAAAAGAGAAAAGCTTGCAGGTTTCAGACTGCTGATGCCAGGGAATGGCTTCATGGGTAAGCAAGGAAAGGTTTCCATTTCCTTGCCAGCAGCAGGATTTTGTTATTTTCATCCTATGAGGTCAGAAATTGTGAGGGTCCCAGTTGTGATGGTCCCAGCTGTGGGTTCCTCTGGCTCTGCACTGAAGGCACTCCAGACAGCAGTTTCATGTTGGGACTCAGGTGTTTATTATTCCTTATCAGTCAAACAGTCTCACTGCTGTGAGTTCTGCAGCTTTTCATTAGAAGGCACAAAATGGCCAACAATCTCTTGGTACAAGGTCTCCTAGGACTAAACTGTCCAGTTAAGAGCTGACACCTGGATTATTTTCCCTTTGAACCCAAGAACTGATCCCACAGAGCCCCCAGTGCAGACTTTTCTGCCCAATTCCAAAATACCACCCAAACCCATGGAGAAGAAGGAAGAAGCAGCATGAAGAAGAAACCCAGGACAACACCCTGTGCCTCCATCCTGCTGCCATCCACAGCACACTAAAAACCCCAAACCCTCAATTTCTCACCCAGTGATGCACCTGCACTGCTCTCTATAATCTATTGCACGCTTTTGTGGGTTCCAGTCTATCTTGAAGTCTGGGAAACTTTCTCCATGGATGAGGGTCAGAGTCAGTGCTGCCCTGGGGGTCACGGCAGCCCAGAGCAGACACAGGAATGAATATTCCCTGTGCTGCCCTGGGTTGCACAAGAAATTGTGAATATCCTCCCACTTCTGTAACTCTCCTTGAAGCATTTTTTGCTTTTGGCTACAAGGCTCCCCTGGTGAGTCAAGGAAACCTGAGATATTCATATTTGGCACACATGCAGAAAACTTCTGCAAAACTAAATCAAACCCCTCAACCTTGAAGTGCTGCTGCACCCCATCAGCAGAGGGAGCCTTGGCTGTCCCCTGTAGCTGTGGGCTGTGCCTGGCACCAGATCACCCTCTGGAGGTGGGCAAAGCAAAGAGCTCTGCAAAAGTGATGCTGCTGAATGGTGCTGTGGGCTTTTAGTTTAATTTTGTCTTTTTTATTATTATCACTGCATTCATTAAAGGGGTGGGACTATTTTGGGGCTATGATTTATTGCTCAGATAAACATCAGTCTCAGAGGCTGTGAGATTTTAGAGGAGCAAGCAGTCAGCCATAGCTCAAAGCAGTCACAAGTTCTTCATTATAAGGCAATATAGAACCTTCTGATCCAATGGACAGTTGCCACAGGGTTTATTTTGCTTTTCTAACCTGCACTTCTACTGCACTGTGGATACTTTTACCCCATGGGGTCACATGCACACAAATGCTTCTATCATAACCTCCAAACTCTCAGCTAATTCCATACAACCCCACCCTTACATTATAAACCCTTCACATTTTATCAATCCAATTTTTTACTTACTTAGGGCATACTCTTACTTACAACTATAGAAACATAAGTTTATGATTTTTCAGCTAAATGTCTGTGTATTGTATTTTTACATCAATCCAGGCTTCTCCCAAGGCTGCAGACCAAACCCTCCTGTGTCTGTGGAAGTTTCTGCCTTTCCATTTCCCACAGTGTCAGTAACTCCCAGGAGCCAAGAGCACAGGTCTGGCCTGTGCCTGCCCTTGGTTCTGGCCCATGGAGGGTGGGAATTCAGCCCAGGCTGCTCCTGGCTCAGGGTCAGCACAGGGAACCCTGGCTGTGCACTCTCCTCTGCTTCTGGCTTGGCCAAAAATCTCAACTTCAATCTGCTGTGCAAGAAATTTGTTTTTAAAATCTCGCTGTTTCTGCAGCATTTGGTATAGAAAACAGCCATGGAAAATGTGCTTTTATAGCCCTTGTACTTTATTCACTGGAAATTGAGCCTCTGCTCCTTCTGAAATGATCTTTTCAGTTTCCTAAAATTCATTTTGCCTCTATATCACAGCTTCAGTGTGGAATGTGTGTCCCAGTGTACTGAGTTAGCAGGACTGGGGAGCTGCAAGCCCTGGCCCCACCTTGCTCTAACAATGGATTTTTCCTCTTGCTTCCCTTGGCTGCTGATTTTTTACTGGCTCAGTTTCTTTGTCTTTTCTCCTGCAGAGAAGCACCTCAAGGTGGAGATTCAGCCTGCAGAAGTGATTAATTTGCCTTTTTTTTTAAATCCCACTGACCATAATTGGGACTGTACACAGCAGAAATGCTCCCCAGGGTGTTTGTGTGGGGTGGCACAGCCAGGAGCTGTGGGTGAGGGACTGATGCAGCAAACAATGGGGAAATGGGGACAGGTTTAAGCAGAGGTCACTGTGGACACAGCACATCCTGGCTGGTGCTGCTGACTGTGCACAGAGAACAGGGTCAGCACTTCACCAGGAAAGCAAAATCCGTGCTCTCAGCACTGAGGATGGGAATTGCTCAGCCACATCCAGGCCTGGAGAGCACAGCTGAGCCACCTGGGGGGCTCAGCCATAAAATCCCCGCTGTGAGGAACTCCTGGATCCCCAGGGCTGTGTGAGAACCTCAGCTGAGGATGTGGCTGTGCTCTCTGCCTTTCTGTGAAACCACCACACTCTTTGGAGCTTGGAGAATTGACAGCAACACTCATGGGACTGAGAGGATGAGAAATGCCAGAATAAGAGAGATAAAAGGGAAAAAAACCTCAACCAAAGCGTGCATGTGCTGGCCCAAAGGTGCCTGATATTTGGTCTCTTCAAGTCAGTCTCATAAGCCCTTGGAGATCTGCAGCACACCTGAGGTAGCTCAGCCACCTCAGATGGTTTAAAATCAGCAGGGTGGCTTCTGTGGCAGTGTTGGAGACATGAAAGTTTTAATAAAAAGCAAAATAACAAAACTCTTTACAGAGAAAAACCAATCCAGGTGCAAGAGGTCCTCCTGCTCCTGGTAAAACACCTCACAAAGGTGATTATTTCCTTTTGTTCTCTTCTTTTTCTAGTGAATTGCTCAGGGGGGACTTTCTGGCTCCTGTCCAATTGGCCGTCCTTAAGTTTGAGGTGAAGTCCCCAGGGTCCTATGAGATGCTTTTTTACCCAATTGAGGAGAGAAACTTCTGGGCTTTTTTCCTTTTTAAGGAGACAAAGGATAACTGTGCCACTCTGTTCAAAGGAGGCACATTCCTCCAGGTGCCAGCTGTGGGCAAAGTAGAGACAGAAGGGGCAGCACAGGCAGCCCTGGGCTGTGGCAGCAGCTGAGCAGCCTCAGGCACCACTGCCTGCTCAAAGGGAGCCCAAGGGCTCTGAAACCAGACACCCCCAGCTCTGGAGAATTCATGGCTGGGGCTGTTTGAGCATGGACTGAGGAACCAGCTCAGTGGAGAGGGGATTCATGCACAGCCTGGGCATTGAACTGCACAGCCTGGTTCCTTCTGAGGAGGATGTGAGAGCTCCTGGAGTCCCTGCCCATCAGCACATGCCCTGCTTCTAATAATTGATAAATGCAGCTGGATAAATTGGATGCTCTAGGGGAAAATTGGATGCTTTAGGGGAAACCCTCAGCCCTTTGGGGCTGGGATTAGAGGATCCTTAAGGTCCCTTCAAACCCAACACAACCCATTCAATGATTATTGAGAATTTCCTTGAAGTTCTGAAGCAGTGGGCAGCCATTCAGTGCTGGTTGAACAATATTTCATGATCTGTCCCAGTACTAATTAAAAGACATTTTGCTTGGAGAAGAAATTAATGGCTGACACTCCCATGCAGAATTGTTGCAAGAACAAGTTAGATTTTATTTTCAAGGAAGTTTTTTTTCTATCTCTGCTAACATTCAAACCTTTGAATTCTATTAAAACCTCTAAGAACAGTGATAAAAGCTAGGAACTCCTTATCTGCACTGACAGTGAAGCACTGCCCTTCTCACAGCCCCATCACTCAGTGCCTTGCCATGGGGATGAGAGTGGGCAGAGCAAGTGCCAGCTCTGCTCCCTGTGTGTTTTAATGCTGTGTGTGAGAGGGGAGCTCTGCTCCTGACAGACCTGGGGCTTTGCCCCAAACCAGAGATGGAACAGCCCTGAGCCTGCAGGACAGCACAGATGGGGCAGAGCAGAGCTGGGCACCCAAAGTGACACGAGGCAAAGAGCAGCTGCACTGCTGGTTTGTCACTGGGAGCTTCTGCCCCCAGATCCCCAGAGTGCTGATCACTGCACTGGGTCTGGAAAACTGCAATATCATCAGGCCAGGCTTCATCACTGATGGCAAACCCCACATTCCTTTGTCTGAGTGAAAGATAAACCTTTTGTGGGGCCCTTTGTGCAACAACAGCCAAGGCCTGTCCCTCCTGGCTGGGGCCCAGGCCTTTCCTATATCAAAGAGCACAATTAGAAGCCCTTCTGGTTTATTTATATATAAATATTTCTGCATGCTTTGGGGGAAATGAGGGAATGTGAGCTGAAAGATGTGGGATGGAAAGGGTTTCTCAGTCCTCTGACAGTCCCAGAAGATGCAGCAGCTTTTCCTGCAGGGGCAGAGGAGCCTCCTGCCCTGCCCTGCCCTGGCTGGGGCTGGGGGCTCTGCCAGCCCAGAGCTCACCCAGCAAAGCTGGGCTGGCAGGGACAGGGAGATGGGAACTGATTGCAACCAGGGGGTGCTGGTGTCAGGGCAACCCCCACAATTACTGTCAGGGCTGGGACTCCTTGCTCAGGAGGGAAGCAAGGCTGTCTGTGGGCTGTGCAGAGCCTTCCTTCCAACCACAACCACAGCGTTCCTGACTCTTGGCTCCTTACCTGGCACCAAAGGTATTTTTATGGATAATGGAACACCTTATGCACAGGAAGGAATAAAACATCTGTAAGAAATTCCTTTTGCCTCCAGCTGCTGAATTTTCAACCAGAATTCCATCCTTCTTTGCAGAAGAGGTGTTGGGCTGGGAGAGCTGAGCCTGGAGTTTGGCTGCACTCAGGAGGGGCCCTGCTCTCCCTCTTGCTCTGCTCTCCCTTCTGCTCTCCTTTCCCTTCTGCTCTCCCTCTTGCTCTCCTTCCCTTCTGCTCTCCTTTCCCTTCTGCTCTCCTTCCCCTCTTGCTCTGCTCTCCCTGCTGGAGGTTTCTGGGCTGCCCTGCCCTGTGCCCAAGCAGAGATTGCAGCAGATGTCTGTGTGTTGGGAAGGATGAAAGTTTGCCAAGAAAGTCTCACAGATATGGATGCTTAGCAGAAAGATTTTTAAATGTGGAGTCTGATGAAGGAATAGAGATGGAAGCAAGTTTTGATAGAGAAGAAGAGAATTGCTGAGCCAGTCTCACTGGATAACCAAGGAGGCAAAGGGTGTGTGAGTTAGAAGGGGTTTTTATGGCTTAGAGCAAAGGATAAACCCACCCCAAATGAGATGATTTTACCAAGCACAAAGAGAGCACAGGCAAACAAACCTGCTGATGTGGCAAGTAGATAAAAAGTCTCAGAATTTTCCACTGCAAGAAAACTGAATCACAACTTCTAGCTTAAACTGTAATGTACTGACTGTTAGTGATTGGAGAACAGTAACAGGAATATGGTAATTACAGTAGTTATGATAGGCTATAGATAATAGTTAAGGTATAGATTGGTTCTGCTGTATTAAGATGCTCAGCAAAGAAAAGTCTATAATGCATTGGAACCAAAAGAAAAGTCTATAATGCACTGTAACCAAACCCAAAGGGTCTCCAGGCCTGCCTGCAGCTGGAGCTGACAGCTGTGGGCACAGCTCTGTCACCCATGACCCTGGGCTGCTGTAACCTCTTGGATGGAACAAACTGCATTTTGTGTACAATGAACTGCATTTTGTATACAATAAACTGCATTTTGGAGAGCCCCTGGAGTCCCACATCCCTCATTTCAGCTCTTACATCTGTGACCTGCACAGCTGAGAGGTGCCCCCCTCTCCTCTGAGGGCAGAGTGGAAAAGGCAGAGGAATCTTCAGCCACCTCAGGACATTTGTATCACTTGGCTTGACAAGCCCACATAAATTACTGATTTTTCTAGTCACACATTTCCTTTCCCCCTGCCTTTTTCCTGTGCTGTTTTACCTTTGACTCCACCTCACAGTGTGGGTTGCCCTGAGCATCTCCTTGCTTTTGGAAGGCTGGGACACACAGCAGAGCACCAGGGAGAGCCAGGGCAGGGGCTCAGCTCAGCCTGCAGGGCAGGGCTGCTCCTGCTGTCCCTGCAGGCTCTGCCTCCCTCACTGCCTGTGCTCGGACACTTCAAAGGTTTGGAAGCACCTGAGGGAAAATACTGGCACTACAGGAGGAAAAAATATCACAGCTGGCTTGTTTTCAACCAGAAAAATCCTCAGTGTGCTCATCAGGTGGGTGAGTGCTGTTGGACAGATCATGCTGTGGCACACCCAGCACAAGGTTTTCCCCCCTGCAGCTCTCTGGACAGGCAGAGCCCCTGTTTGAGCAAATCCTCCAGGGAATCCCAGTATCCCAAAGGGGGAAAGGGTCTCCTGTTGTTCCAGAGGCAGCACCTGGGCTCTGGCTCTCCTTGCACCTGTGCTTTGTATCCACATGATGCCCTAGGATTTTAGCTTTTGTGTTTTTCATCTATTTGCAATCCTGCAGTTCTGTAGTGTAAAACTCCAAACTCCACACACAGTGTGAGCTGCTGCCTTCACATTTTGGGCAGACACAACAATTCCTCTCCAGGCCTGGCAATCAAGGACACCTCACTGCCTCAGGCCCTGAGAGATGGAAACAAAAGTGAGTTGGGGGCAGCAAACTTGGGGTACATGGCTTCATTAACTGGAGCTGGAATTGGAAGATTGACCCCCCAAATAGACCAAAACTTATAAAAGTGTGCAAACCTGTAACCCATGGTCCATTTTTGGATGCAGCCCCTGGGGGGCTTTGTCTGCCCTAAATGTACCTGAAGGCCCTCCCATAAATAAAACTGCTTTTTATTGCCTTAATTCTGTCTGGCCTCTGTTTTCAGGTAGCCCCACAAGGCATCACAGGTGGGGATCAGATCTTCCACTGCCCAGAGGAGGAAGAGCCCTTCCTGCAGCTCTGAGCACAGATAACCACGAGCATCCTGCATGGGCAGAGCTCCTGCTGCTGTCCAAGAGGGGAAATACAGAAACATCCCCTCCTCATTTTCCCTGGGACTGAACTCAGCTGCAGCCAGGAAAGCCAATTCCTTGGTTTTCCTGAGTGTGGGTGGATTGACCCGAGGTGATTTCCCTCTTGGATCACTCACTGACCTGCATGGCCTCTGCAGCTCTCTGGGCTCAGCTGTCCCAAGACTGATTTTCCATTCCCTGGTGGCTGAGGTGTTGCAGATTCCTGCCTTTGGGAATGTGTCTGTCTCACATGAGGCCCAGTTCAGCCCCAGTTTATGGTGGCTATTCAGGCTGTTTTGAGTAGAAAATCTGCCCATTTTTTTAAAAGGTTGCAGAGTTCACAGGTTTGGCCAGTTGCTGCCAGGGTGCAGTTCTAACTGTTTGTTACTGTAATCACCTGTTTTCGTTAACTCCCTGTCCTTGATGGTTAAGAATTCCCCCTTTTGTCAGTGACACCCTGCTGCTTCCTGGAGGATGGCACCCAGACGGTGAAGAGGAAGGGACATGGAGTTGGCTGCAAATGACATCGGATCCAGCATGAAACGGGAGGGACCCCTCACCAAACCCAGCCAAAAACCCCTAAAACAACGAGCCAACACAAAATTGATGAATCAAAGCAATGTCTGGATGTGAGGAACAGAATCCAGCATCCGCCAAGACCCTTTTTACCCCTCACCCTAACGTAAAGATGTTGGCTAGACAGAGGAGCTCAAATGTTCAAGTGGAAAATTAAGGGAATTTCCCAATGCTGTCGTGAGGATGGAGCCCCCAGCCCTGCCCACACACCAGTGGACAAAGCTGCTCTTCCTGCTCCTCCTCCGAGTCACTGCTGGCAGTGCAGACCCGTGGCTTCTCCCCACTCGAGCTGATCACTTTTAATAAAGGTGTTAAAAAGGAGAAAGGTCTCCTGCCCTGTTTATTTCACTGGCCATGAAGTGCTGGCCATGAAGTGCTGGCCATGTGCTTGAGAGTCACTGCTTCCCACAGAGAGGGGTTTGGCTGTGCCCATGTTGAACCCCAAATTAAGGGAATCTCCTGAAGCTCTCACGAGGATGGAACCCCCAGCTCTGCCCCCAGACCATTGGGCACAGCTGTGCTTTTCCCTCTCCTCCTCTGAGTCACTCCTGCTCCAGCGGTGGTGTGAGCGTGACCCATTGGTTCTCCCCACCTGAGCTGATCACTTCTAATAAAGGCATTAAAAAGGAGAAAGGTCTCCTGCCCTGTTTATTTCAGGCTGTCCAGAGGAAAGCTGGAGGAGCAGTGTGATCACCCTTTCCCCTTCCTGCCAGGAAGGGAATTGCTGCACACAGAGCTGTTCTCCCCCAGTTTCTCCTGCCCGTGCTGGACCAAGCTGTTTCCTGCATTGGAAACTGCTGCACTTGCTAATTGACAGAAGGAAATGAACATGGAGCAGATCAAAGGCCTCCTTGCTGCACGTTTTTGTCTTTTCCATAACACAGGAGGCACCAGGGGGGCAGAGGGCTGGTGGGAGCCATGCCAAGGTGTTGGCTTTTCCTGCCCTGCCTGTGACTGCTGCTCGAGGCAGATTTACCCTGATGTGACCCAGGGCAGGAGTCTGTGCAGAAATGCAGAATACTGAGCCTTGCACTGATCTGCTTGGATGGATAATTTGAAGGCAGGCCCTCAGATTAATTTGTCAAGGAGACAAATAGAAGAGCACGCTGGCTGTGAATTAAGGGGAAAATCCCTGTGACAGCGTTCACAGGGGTCTGAGGATGAGGGAAGAGACGAGGATCTGACTCCATGTTTCAGAAGGCTTGATTTATTATTTTATGATATATATTATATTAAAACTATACTAAAAGAATAGAAGATAAGTTTTCATCAGAAGGCTGGCTAAGAATAGAAAGAATGATAACCAAAGCTTGTGGCTTGGCTCTCTGTCTGAGCCAGCTCACTTTGATTAGCCAATGATTAGAAACAACCAACATGGGCTAATCAAAGGTCTACCTGTTGCATTCCACAGCAGCAGATAACCATTGGTTACATTTTGTTCTTGAAGCCTCTCAGCTTCTCAAGAGGAAAAATCTTTAAAAAAAGACTTTTCATAAAAGATGTCTGTGGCAAATCCCCAAGCACAGTGTAACACAGTGACACAAAAGCTGGGATCCATTGGATTTGCATTGTGACAAGTCATGTGAGAGGACCTGTCAATGACTCTGACCAGTGACTGTAAACCCCTGAGCTCACAAAATGATTTATCTGTTTCCAGCAAGCATTTTTAAGGCTGCACATGCTGTTCCAAGAGCTGGGAGCAGAATGGCTGTCTGCTGCAGGATTCATGGATTGTGCCTGTGTGCTGCTTGCAGCTGAATCTGGGATGCTGATCCTGACCATGTGCTTTGCACAGACAGATATTGGGATATACACAAGTCAGATGATGCACTTTGGACCTGGTTAGCATAAGAGATTTGATAACAGGATGCCTTGGCAAGAGCAAACAGAACTTTGAGGATTAAATCAAGATTGCAAGAAGATTCAATCAGACAGGTTTACTGGAAAAAGAAAATTACATCAGACTTCTGCAAGCAAGAGATGTTTAAAATGCATACGCTCGTTTATGTGATTTTTAACCCAATCATTGTTGCAAAACATTACTAGCCTCCCTAAAATAGTATATAAGAAGTTGTACTTCACAAAGAACTCGGATTTTTTGACCATCACACCGAGTCCCTGTCTCTCTCTCTCTTCACTGCCAACAGCCAGGTCCTTACTGGGCCCCTTTGCACACCATTGCTGGGGCTGTGCTGAAACACAGGAAGGGCCAGGCTGTGCAACCCCAGGGCAGCACAGGGAATATTCATTCCTGGGTCTGCTCTGG